CTCAATTGAAGCCTTGTTCGTTGACCAAACCAAGGTTGTGGGGGATCAAGCTGATGCGGTCTCCCAGCTGGAAGCCTCTCCCACATCCAAATCTGCAAAAAAAGAGTGGAAACATGAATGTTAATAACTTTTGTTAAGAAAAAACATTGAATTGTAGTGGAAACTTGTACAACTTTGCTTTATTACCTGCAACAGTGTGATGCACCCTGACATTGTAGCGTGCGCGCCTCCAGGACGGCGGCAAGCCTCGCAAAGCTGACGGTATAGGAAGGCAAGTATAGCTGAGCCCCAACTCCTATTGCCGGCATCCTCCTAGTTCAAAAGGCACGGGCTGTACATCTAGGACGCCGTGTCTCTAGTGTCGTCAGGGAAGAGAACCGTACCAAACATGTGGAGGACGTAGGCCCGACAGTAGTATGTCACGGTCTCGACGTCTACGTTGGGTGGGCACTCCCGAAACTACTGACGAAGCCACCTCAGGGACACCCCACTGCTGCGCCATTTCTTGCCAGCCTCAACTGCCGCTAGGGGCCATCCCAAGAAGTGCTCAACCCGCTGCTACCATCCTTTGGACTCCGTGTCTCCTGTCACTGGGAATCCTTGGATTTTGACTCCAAGGATCATGGCAACGTCCTCGAGAGTGACCGTCATCTCCCCGCATGGTAGGTGAAAGCTGTGTGTCTCCTGGACGCCACCGATCTATCAACACCGTCGGCCATTGGGGTTGAAAGAAAGGTGGCGTGCCTCGACGACAAACACGAGCAACGGTAGCAAGGTTCGCCAGCTTCAGGAGGGGCGTGTACCTCTCATCGTAGACCATGGTCGTAGAGGCCTCATGTGTCATTGGCCTCAGCACATTCAAAACCTGCAAAAAAAAGACAAGCATGAAAAAGTATTAGTTCATGTCACTTTATAAAGAGCATGGACTATAGAGCAAAACATGAACAATGCAATGTTTCATACGAATTGTTGAATATACCTCTCCGTTCTCGATCCTCCGAGCCCGGTGGTGCTCATCGAACCTTGGATCAAGAAGGGGGAACCGATCCATCCTGCAACATAAGCAATGCCAAAGCATTAGTATAAGTTAAAGCATGTGTATGTGGTACGAAGTAACATAAAAATAAAAATAAAACAAAAGTAAACCAATGTACTATTACACAAAGCAATTCTAGTAGCTAGCTTTGTGGATACCTGTTGTCTAAGTAGTTCAGGACATTTTCTCTTATTGTGGCCCGGCTTATGGCAACCAGAGCAACGGCTCTTTTGGGTGTCCTCTACAAAATGTCTCCCAACCTTACTCGTGGTTGATCTACCTTTCATGGCTCGGTCCATGTCCATCCTGAACCGCTTCCGCCGCCTAGGTCCTCTACTCTTCTAGAGTAAACCAAGACCAGCCACATACTTGGGGCCATCATAAGTAGGCCATTGACTCTCGTCAAGAAATGGCTCGAACTGAGGATTCTAGGTGCTCATCAGGTTCCTCAAAGAGAACTCCGTGGCCATACGGGGAGGGACCTCAGCGTCAACACGTCTAAGGCGACAGGCTGTAATCATGTGGGAGCAAGGCCTATGGTATATGATCGGATTTCCACACGTACACTTGTTCTCATTGATCACTACTTTATGTTTTCGAGCACCCCGGTCTTCACCACCAATGTTAGTTCCACCACCCTCTAGAATCTCATATCCATGGTTGATCGGATCGAAACATGAACCCTTCTGTTATTTAGACTTTTTCTTTGAGAAACCTAGTTCCTGAGATGCTAAAAGTGGCCAAGCTTTGCCTGTTGTCCATAGAGACCTCGCATGCTTCTTCCTCGAAACGAACCAAGAATTCAACTTGTAGAAGGTGAATGAGGCAATAGCAGTCACAGGCAGACCACGACAACCTCTTAGAAGGCTGTTGAACATCTCTGCCATGTTACTAGTCATGAAGCCCCATCTCCAACCACCCGTGTCATATACAAGTGACCACTTATCCTTCGACGCCATCAACTCGCTCAAGAATTGCCTGCCATCAACATTTGTGGCTAACTTCAGGGCATCTAACTTGTCTTTGAATAATTGAACCTCTTGCTACCTGCAAACCTCCTCAAATAATTTGAAGTTGTCCTTTGTGTGATCACGCCTTATAAGATTCTGAGCAAGGTGTCCGGTGCACCACCGGTGATGTATTTGGCCGTAACCAGGAATCTCTTGTTCTACGGCATTCAGAATGCCAGCATGCCTATCGGATATCACACAAACATCACGTCCCAGACCAATTACCACTTGTCTTACTAGCCTGAGAAACCAACACCAACTATCCGTGTCCTCCTTCCGAACAATCGCAAAGGCCAATGGCACAAGCTGGTCCTCTGCATCCGTCCCAATATAAATAAGCATTGTGCCTTCAAATTTCCCTGTAAGAAAGGTCCCATCAATTGAGACGACGGGCCTACAATGCTTGAATGCTTCGATGCTCTGCCCGAACGCCCAAAATGCCCTTCCAAATACCTGGCTACCATTCCTTGTTTCACCCTCCTTAGGTAAATACTCGAAGTGCATCCCAGGATTTACAATCCTCATTGCGTTCAACATTACAGGGAGGCGCTCATAAGCTTCTTCCCAATTTCCAAATATTATTTCCAGTGCACGCTGCTTTGCCCTCCATGCTTTCCCATACTTGACATAGTAATTGTACTGTTGGAAGATGATCTCAACCAACGCAGACACCGTAACGGTTGGCATATGCTTCACCATGGGGCATAATTGCCTTGCAATGAACCTAGAATTGAGCTGCAGATGGTTCTCTTCTGCCTCAGCAGTGGCACAAACATGTGGTTGCTTCACTGAGGTAATCTTCCATTTGCCTGCCTTCGTCTTCCTAGCACATACTCTCCAACCACACTGTTGTTCTTCACAAGCAATAGTATACCTCTTCTCCTTGAATGAATTGATGACCCTAAAAAGTCGGTTGTGTACAATGGAGTACTCTTGCAACCATGATTTCAACTCATCCATGGTACCAAACAATATGCCCTTCCGTATGATGAGGCAACCGCTAACATCAGGCACAGTTGTATCACTTGGCCCACCATCAGCTACTGCCCTATGACCATGGCTAAGGTCCTCGAAATCACCAACTACTGGATCTCTCCAAGGCAAGACCCTAGACAATATCTCTATTTCCCTAAAATTCAGACGACCAACAGGGCGATCGTCATCAGAGTCTTCGGCTATCTCCTCTACGAAGGATTTATCATCTCCAGCTATCTCCATGTCAAAACGGTTCATAACCCTAGCATCACCAAAGTCTTCTTCACCACTAAGATCATCTTCGTCGCTAAGCTCATCCTCAATAGAAAAGTCTCCGCTAGCGTCGTCCAAACCTTCTTCTGCATCAACAATTACATAATCATCATCCTCTTCATCACTATCATGATTGCCCTCACCATCGGCAACCGGATTCTCTTCCTCATCTCCACCGTAGCCTAGTTGTGTGACAAGTATTTCTTCTTCAGGTAAAGGACCATAACCTATGTGAGCGGGGGAAGATGGCCATGCTTCGAAGTTATCATTTCCTAAGCCGGACTCCTTACTTACTACTAAATCCAAAGATCGCACTTCTGAGGCCAATACAACTGCCTTGTAATCATTCCATTCAGTCTCGCTTGTAATTTTGAGCAACCGCTTGATCCGAGGACCCTTCGATGACCCAACATCTATGACACCTTCAAACTGAACATGCACGTCTCCTTCATTCCAGCCTAACTTAACCTTGACTCGCTCCACTAACTGGGTCAAAGATGGTGTTTCAGAAAAAATCAACAACTCCTCACACATGTCCAGAAATTCCAAACTATCATCTCTTGTCCTAACAATACGGCCTCCATGATGCAACCTCACTAATTTATCCATCTACAGCCATCACACAACAAGTAGTGTCACATATCAATATATCATGCGAGTTGCAATCCAATAAGTAGAAACTAAAATATATCATTTCATCTTTTTCAACCCCAACAACATAATCATTTTTAGTCATAACGAATTAAAATGTAATGACCAATAAATAAATAAAATACATAGTAATCCTAATGACCAACAAATAACTAACCCTAATGACACCTACAACAAACAAAGAGCCCTAATGACCAAAATAACTAGAAACCAAACTAACCTAACATGTTCATCACATAAAATAGTTAAACAACAATGCACTCAATCGTCCTAAGCCATACATTTTGCAAATGCAAACACAAATATACCAAAACACCATACAACCATGATTCCACATGATTAGGGACAATGTAAGCACATCTACGCGGATAGAATGGAGGAGGGGAGGAACTATTACCTCGAGGAAGCTTCGGGAGACAAGATCGTGGCACCGGGGTCGATTTTGGAGCCTAGGGTTTGGTGGCGGCGGCGGGGAGAAGAGAGAAGAGAGGGAGGCCAAGTGGTTTCAGAATGGAGGAGGAAGAAGAAGGGCCCTCGGCGCGGCCTAAAGGGACCAGACCTCGGCGTTGAGTCGGGCCACGCCGAGGTCTGGAGGCTCGGCGTTAAGTGACCCAACGCCGAGCTTCCGGGCCACCGTGCTTTGTTGGGTCGCTCCGGATGGGTCCATTAGCTCGGCGCGCAGTCCAGCCGCACCGAGGTTGGGCACTTGGCGTCGGCTGACACGACGCCGACATCTCGGACCCACGCGCCACCGTGTCGACGACGACCCCGGTCGTCCGTGACGTGGCAATACCTCGGCGTTGAGTGACACGACGCCGAGCCTCATATCTAGGCGTCATGTGCTAAGACGCCTAAAAATGATCTATTTTCAGAAAATGTTTTAGCGTAGGTATTTTTCTTAAAATTGTTTTCAAAAGAGACCAAAATACAAAAAAATTCACGTGCGTCCCGTCTATAAAACTGTACGGGGAGGAGCGCATGCTGCATCGGCAGCAAGCTAAAGCGTTCCACTACAGAAACGAGCCATCTCTTTTATTCTTTCGCGGGCAGAGGAAATGGCCGGCAGCGGGGAGGAGGCAGCGGCGGCGGCGGTGGTGCAGAACAAGAAGGTGGTGCTGAGGAGGCACGTCACCGGGTTCCCCACCGAAGACGACATGGAGATCACGGTGGGCACTACCGAGCAGCGTGTGCCGGCGGGCCTGACCGCTGTGCTGATCAAGAACCTCTACCTGTCCTGCGACCCCTGGATGCGTGGCCGTATGAGCAAGCACGACGACGGCGCCACCGTGCCGGTCTCGGACTTTGTGATCGGAGACGTACGCGTCCAAATTTGCTCCACCGGCCACCGCCGATTAGTCTCTTGTTAAGCGTCATTTGGAGCTTTAGAAATTAGAATCATAGGTGAAGAAATCTGCATGTGATTCATGAATCAGGCCATGGTCAATTTCGGTGTGGGCAAGGTGATCGACTCGACGCACCCAGAGTTCATCGCCGGCGACCTCGTATGGGGGATGAGTGGATGGGAAGAGTACACCCTCGTCACCCAGCCGGAGTCCCTTCACAAGATCAACCACGCCGACCTGCCGCTCTCCTACTACACGGGCGTTCTTGGTCAGCAACCTGCATTTTTTCTTGTTCCTCCATTCTCCTTTCAACATCTACTAGTAACTGACTGACGATGCGATTCTGGAACCACCACTGCGACGTTGCAGGCATGCCGGGGCTGACTGCGTACGCTGGGTTTACCCAGGTCGCCAGGCCAAACAAAGGCGACTTCGTGTTCGTCTCAGCAGCGTCGGGCGCCGTCGGGCAGGTCGTCGGGCAGCTTGCCAAGATCGCCGGCTGCTACGTGGTCGGCAGCGCCGGCTCCGACGAGAAGGTGAGCCTCCTCAAGACCAAGTTCGGCTACGACGACGCCTTCAACTACAAGTCCGAGACCGACCTCAGCGCCGCGCTCAAGCGGTGCCTCCGCGACGGCATCGACATCTACTTCGACAACGTGGGCGGCGCGACACTCGACGCCGCGCTGCTGCACATGCGCCACGGCGGCAGGGTCGCCGTCTGCGGGATGATCTCGCAGTACAACCTGGAGGAGCCATACGGCGTGCGCAACCTGTACTGCATCATCGGCAAGACCATCTGGGTGGAGGGGTTCAACGTCGGTCGCTTCTTCCATCTGTACCCGAGGTTCGAGGAGGAGATGGCTGGGTACATCAAGGACGGGAAGGTCGCCGTCGTGGAGGACGTCGTCGAGGGCATTGAAAGCGCACCGGCAGCTCTGATCGGGTTGTTCTCTGGCAAAAATGTAGGGAAGCAGTTGGTTGCTATTGCAAGGGCATGAGTTGAAGCAGGAACTACATCGTAGTGACGAGACGAGCAAAACAAGTTTTATGCTACTTGTGTGATGACAGCGCGGACCGGCGGTAATAGAGCTGCTCTGTACCGGTCCTTGTTATACGTAATAAGAGAATAATATCAATGTTGTGTATTGTGTTGGGAGAAAAAAAACATATTTATAATTTGCATTTCATCAGCATATTCACATCTGAATGAATGCCAGTGTAGTTTTATTTGAAGTTGATTTCAGTCATGATAGATCAACGAAGCAGTCGATTCACACTGATGTTATTCCGTTGTATTACTAACGTGGTTATTATGGAAGCAAGCCAAATGGTCCGCTTTCAAAAACTAGATGGTCTAATATTCTCTTGGTTTCCTTTTCCCTGAGAGTGGTAAATATCACGTTTTTAAGGTGAAGGACAGCTAGGTTTTCAACAAAATAGAAAAGGATACCAATCACATTATGGGACAATTAAAAACTTGTTTTTGGGAAAAACTACCAAATTAGATGTTGAAAGCTCTCTCATGAGAGGGATCTCATAGTGTGTTGTTGGGTCGGTTTCACTATTAAAAAAAGATTTTTAAAGACGTCTCCCTTCTCTAATAGAAGCGGTTTTCTTAGTACGTCATCTCTAACCTTCGTGGGAGGCACTGTAGCTATACAGCTGTTGCTAAAAATCATTTTTTAGGGGCGGTTCCATTAAGAAAACCGCCCCTAGAAATGTTTCTGTTTTTAGGGACGGTTCTATTAAGAAAACCGTCTCTGAAAATACGATTTTCAATGACGGTTGCTCATGTCAAACGTCTCTAAAACAAGTAATTTTTAGAGACGGTTTTGTTAAGTCTACCGCCCCTGAAAATTAATTTTCAAGGGCGGTTGACTAAGTTAACCACCCTTAAAAATAGCTGCAACACCAATAATTTCATATCTATTTTAAATGAAGTCGGATGAAGACAAAGTTTATATAAAAATTGTAGAGCTCGACGAGATCTAAAACTTTATAGTCCATAAAATTTTTGTTTGAGATCATTTAGGATTCCAAATATATAAATTAAGTCTTAGATTTTAAATTTCAATTTTTTTTAATTTTTTAAATAACCTTGGATGGAGAAATGTCCTCTATCAAAGTTGTAGTACTCGATGAGATCTTAAACTTTGTACCTGAAAGTTCTCTTATTTAAGATTATTTATAAGTTAAAATATTGATCGCAAGATTTGTGTATATTAGTATAATAAATAGACAACATCGTAGAACTAAACACAAGTGACTGTGTGGTGTAATGGTATGTCATGGAATGCGCGAGAAAGAGGTTGTGGATTCGACGGTGTCTGCACTTATTCAAAACAAGTGAAAAATAAATCTTGTGAGCTATGGCTGGTCCTCAGCCCTGCGGACTTATTTTTAGAGGCTGAAACCTCTGAAAACCAATTATTTTTACAATCGGTGGTATGGAGGCTGAAACCTCTGAAAATCAATTATTTTTATAATCGGTGGTATTGTAGCGGTTTTTCAAACCGTTCCTGAGATTTTAACCATCTATAAAAATCTTTTTTGTACTAGTGTTTGCCCTAGCAAGGTCAGCTAACAAGCCTATGTACTTCTTTTTAGATAATGGATTTTCATTAATCAAAGCTCTATATTCATGAAGGATATACTTGTAGCCATTAGATTAGAAAATAAACACCGCTAGTGTCTTCAGAAGTTTTTATAGAACCATCACATTCAAGAGTACTTTCAGCAATTAATCTTCCTTTAGCAACCGACGATTCCATTATTGTCAAAACATATTGCAATTATTGGTACTATGATCAAACAAGTTATACTATTATATACGTTAATATAACTGTTGTCGTGATGGCAAGGCTGTGTGACAAAATGCCTACTTCATCCAATTTTTACAATCGGTCGTATTGTAGCATTTTTTCAAACCGTTCCTGAAAACCGATTTTAACCATTTGTAAAAATCTTTTTTGTACTAGTGTTTGCCCTAGTAAGGTCAGCTAACAAGCCTAGGTACTTCTTCTTTTTAGATAATGGATTTTCATTAATCAGAGCTCTATATTCATGAAGGATATACTTGTAGCCATTAGATTAGAAAATAAACACCGCTAGTGTCTTCAGAAGTTTTTATAGAGCCATCACATTCAAGAGTACTTTCAGCAATTAATCTTCCTTTAGCAACCGACGATTCCATTATTGTCAAAACATATTGCAATTATTGGTACTATGATCAAACAAGTTATACTATTATATACGTTCATATAACTGTTGTCGTGATGGCAAGGCTGTGTGACAAAATGCCTACTTCATCCAATTTTTACAATCGGTGGTATTGTAGCAGTTTTTTGAAACCATTCCTGAAAACCGATTTTAACCATCTGTAAAAATCTTTTTTTGTACTAGTGTTTGCCCTAGCAAGGTCAGCTAACAAGCCTAGGTACTTCTTCTTTTTAGATAATGGATTTTCATTAATCAGAGCTCTATATTCATGAGGGATATACTTGTAGCCATTAGATTAGAAAATAAACACCGCTAGTGTCTTCAGAAGTTTTTATAGAACCATCACATTCAAGAGTACTTTCAGCGATTAATCTTCCTCTAGCAACCGACGATTCCATTATTCTCAAAACATATTGCAATTATTTGTACTACGATCAAACAAGTTATACTATTATATACGTTCATATAACTGTTGTCGTGATGGCATGGCTGCGTGACAAAATGCCTACTTCATCCAATTCTTTTGTGTAGACAGTTTTAACGCCAAGTAAATGAATGGTCTAGATTTCTCATATATCCATTCCGCTATAAAGGTATTGAAGTCCTCCGCGACTTTGTGAACAGTGGCAAAATTCTATAAAGCTAATAAGATGCCCTATAACAATGATGAACAGGAACAACACAGTCTGACGTATTTCATAATATGGATGAAATTAATTTCTGAAATTACTCTATCTAAATCCCTTCTAATAAGCTGATTCGATCCATAAGACTTGATCTAAAATATAGTGGATTAAAAATTTGCATCTCACCTAGGGCAACCACGCAACAAGCATGGCAACAAACTCTCAGCGATCCACTTGTTCCTTCCATCCTTCTTTTTCTGCACTTTGCGACGATCCTCGCTGCTACGACCGTAACACTGTTTCAATCTACGCCGAATGCGGTATAGCCATCAAGGATATCAAGGGAAAGCAAGAGACTGAGGGCAAAGCAAAGAGAGAGGATGACACCAAACTGTTTTTTAGGGAAGGACAAGCCTTAATTCTCTTTCTTCTTTTTGTCCCTTTTTTTATTTCTCCTTTGCACATAATCGAGCGCGGGCTGTGCTAGGTATGGAAAATATGTGTGCTATAGGTTTGGGAGAGACCAAGATCAAAATGTGGCAGCGCTGGGAGAAAAAGAAATGGTTGCGGCCATAGGTTGATAATAATCTCTATCTCTTCTCTTGTCTTCTCTTCTCTACTATATATATACACATAAAAGACTCTAAAATCATTATCGGTCCGGTGATACTATCGACGAAATTTAGTCGGCGGTCTACCGGAGGGTTTACCCACGGTAGTAGATGATCGGTGGAGGTGTGCGTAATAGGAACCGGATGGTGACACGGGCGCAGAGACAACGGTTTAGACAGGTTTAGGTCGTCTGATCGACGTAATACCCTACGTCATATGTCTTTGGTTGATTGTATTGAATATGAGATGAATTCGAGGGGGGTTCCTACCCGCCTTATATAGTCTGAGGGTAGGGTTACAAGTCGGTTTAGGCCTAGATCTATTCGGTTATATGTTAAGTATTTACAAGGAATACGATATCTATCGTATCTGAAAAGGTCTTCCTTCATCGCCAAGATGTCTTCTGATTGCCTTGCGGTGCACGCCAACCAAAGCTGGGCACAGTGTTATCCTAAACACTAAACGGTAAACAGTCGATCACCTACCGTTTAGCCCATTATTCGGGCAAAACGGTTGTTTAAACGGGAAAAACGGCCGTTTAAACGGTCAAAACAACCGATTAAACGGAAACGGTGTACCACTGTGTAGCATTTAAACGGTGTGTAAACGGGCTAAATGGCCATTTAGGCGAACAGTGGCTGGGCACCGTAGGCCTTGATCTTATGGGCTAGACCTCCCCTAGCGGTGCGGCCTATGTCCATTGCCGTAGGTACCTAGGGTTATATCCCCCACAGCTAGTCACCGAGCGCCTTGTATCCACTGAGCAACGCCGTCTTGATCAAGTCCGAGCAATTTAACTTGGAGCCAGCCAACAAATCTGGCAATCTGACCAGTTTAACTGGTAATCCAATCAACAAAATGAAGTGTCGACTAGTTTAACTGGTAATCCGACCGGTGAAAATTGAAGCCAGCCAATTTATCAGGTGACCTGATCTCGGACTTAGCCAAGTAAGGCTTACCAGAAGGATGTAAGGAGCTCAAGTTTAAAATTTAAAAATTCTCCACCTTAGGTGAAGTGTACAAACTTAGGCTTCATTATCGAAGTCACATGATCATCATCCATGACTTATGCAAAGAGGATATTAGTACTGATATATGCGTCGCAAGGTGCAATATATATGTTGTAGTCCCCGAGCCTGACAGTAGGTGAAGAAGACACCTGGTGTTAGGATCAAAGAATTTCAACGATCACTTAGTCAAAACAACCAATTTCCAGCTTAGCCGAGCACACAGCTAGTCCCCAGCTTAGCTGAAAAATCAGGAAGAAGAAAAACAGTACATTCACCGCAAGGTGAAGTGTACACACCTAGTCCCCAAGCCTGCTATAAGATAGAAAAACATCTTGTAGTAGGATCAAAGAATTAAGTGTAAAAGACGAAATTCCTGCACTTAGCATTGGACATCAGGAGTAAAACTTGATAATATCGAGCGGTAAAGCGTGGAGAAAATAGAAAGTGCTTAGCACTGGATTGTTGTGATAGATATACTTATCAAAGCCCCTGACGTGCTACCCAAGATCAGCACCCTGATCTAGGCAGCAT